GGAGGGTAGTGAGACTTCCTGCCAGACAGCACCCCCAGCTCCCACCCCCGCCATCCCAGCTCTAGGGACCCCACCCACAGGAGAAACTGAACAGGCAGTGTCCAGGGGCGTCCTGGGAAGGGGGCGTGAGGTTTGGTCACAATGGAGAAATGGCTGTGTGTGCTGACCGGAGTCGCCCACTAACCAGGGCCGCTCTGGTGGAGCAGCAGCGAGGAGGCCCGGGAGCGAGGCCAGGCAGGCAGGGCGGTGGCCGGAGCTGGGCAGTGGCTCATGGCAGGGATGGGTGGAGAGCGGAAACTTGGGTGCAGGCCTGGGGCGGCTGTGGAAGTCCTTGCTGGAGGCGTCCGTGTTCTCAGTGACGCAGGCAGCTGAGTGTGACAGGAAGGAGGTCTTGGGTTGAGGTCTTGGGTTGACAGAACGAGTGGCTGCTCCCGTGCCTTCTCCAGGGAGGCGAGGGCGGGGTGGGTGTCAGCTGGGAAGAGAGCTGGCATCTCCTCTGCCCCTCCCCGGTAAGCTTCATGACCAGGCCTGGAGTAGTGAGGGCGGCGTCTGGGTTCACGCTAACAGAACACACAGGCTAGATGTCTTTGAAACAGACATATGTTGCTTCCAGCTCTGGACACTGGAAGTCCAAGGTCAGGCACCAGCATGGTCTGGCGCTGGCCCTGGGCCTCTGTCCAGGTTGAGACACCTCCACAATCTTCACGGGCAGGAGGGAACAGGGAGCCAGTGAGGTCTCCTCTAAGAACAGGAGTCCCAATCGGGAGGGTGGAGCCCTCGTAACCTAGTCACCCCTCAAAAGCCCCACCTCCACCTCCTGACACCTGTTGCCTTGGGGATTAGGATTTCAACATGTGAACTTTGAGGGGACACAAACATTCAGACTTAACCAGTTTTCCTCCCACGAGGGTGACAAAGCAAGAGGACCGCCTTCTTCTGCCACCGGAGCCCTACAGCATCTGTGTCTGCAGGAGAGGGCGGAAGGCACCCTGGGGAGAGGCCCGTGTCTCCGTGCGGATCTTAGCACGTAGGATTGCGTGGGCGTGTGTGTCTGCGCGGGTCTGAGCCTGTGAACAGTGGGCCGGCACCTGCTACGGGGCCCTGGCCTGGGCTGCGGAGGGGCTCTGGCTTTAACGCACGGTGTGTTTGTGCACAGTGCTGTGCACTCCTGTATCCCCGTACACGCCCCTGTGGTGGTGGCCAGGGATGTCCCCTGGGTGTGGGCCCCTGGGGTGGCGGCCCAGGGAGAGTCCCTTTCTGCAGGCGCACTGCCAGAGTGTCTGCTGGGTCTCCACACCAGGGTCTGCACACCGTGTGTCCGTGGGCCTCTCCGTGGAGGGTGGGGGTCTCCACAGCTGGAGACTGTGCCTGCCAGTGTCCCGCGGATGCTGTAGAAGGCACTGCCAGCTGTCCAGCCTGTATCCACACCTGCCCAGGTTCCAGTAACCTCTGTGCCCGCCCACCCTGAGTGGCAAACGCCAAGGGCTCCACTGAGGGTGGGGAGCCCGGGGAGCCCTGGCGGGGTCTGTGCTAAGGGCTGAGTTCCCTGTGGAGGGGAGAGGTTGGGAGGGTCGGAAGGTCATGTCCACTCCCATCATCTCCAGGCCCAAGGCCTGGTGAGCGGCCAGGACCCTGACTCTGGACACACTGACAATGAGATTTTTCTCTGAAAAATAAATTTTAAAAAACCCATTTCATGCACTGGACTGTGGTGATGGCACACGGGTGATTTGGTGATGGGAAGCTCCCAGGGATTACCACTGAGATGGAAAAAGGCACAGAGTGATGTAAAAATGAACTATTATATATATATATATATTTTTTTTAAATATACTGGGAGAATAAAATATATGTGAGTGAAATTTAAAAAAGTAAAAAAAAATAATAACCCATTTCAAAGGGGAGAGAAAATTAGACTGGAACCATAGGCAGCAGCGATCCTGCTGGCCTGGGAGGGGCGGGGTCAGGAGGGGGCGATAACCCTTACACCCACACCTCCTTCAGAAAGGCAGGCTGGCCTTCCCCTGGGGAGAGGCGATGGGCACACAGTGGCCCCATGGTCACTGGGCCTGGAGTTAATCATCTACTGGGGGCATCCCGGGGCCCCATTGGCTTCTGGAGCCACGGCCCTCTGGGCAGAAGCCCAAAGGACTGGGAAGCAGCTTCCCAGGCAGCATCCGCCCAGGGAAAATGGGCTGACGCCATTGCCTACTGATACAGGTGGGTTCTCAGAGAGCCCCTGGATGAGGAGAGAAACATCAGCCCCACCCTCAGGGAGCCCCAATAGGAGAAGCGTCAGCGCTGCTCTCGGGGAGCCCCAACCTGAGAGTAGAAAGGCCCAGCTCCTGCCCTGAGCCGTCTAGTGCAAGAAGCCATCCTCTCCCTCATGGGGGGTAGGGGGGGCCCATTTGGCTGCAGCTGTGGAGGAGGGGCCTGGGAGGGGTGGAGGGCAGCTCCAGCAGCAGAGGGGAGGGGGGGCCAGGGAGGGCTGCGCCCTGGTGAGCAGTCTCTAGGGGAGCCCAGGAAGGGAGCACCCCGAGACTGGGGACTCTGAAGGCAGGGAGGAGCTTGGGGGGGAAACACCATCCAGGAGCTACCTGCCAGAGGCGAGGTCCACCTCCTCTGGGTTCTGGGGGGCTGGGGGCAGTGGGAGGAAAGCAGAGAGAAGGCGCTTCGCTCCCTGCGGGAACCCAGGATTCTAAGTAGGAACATGAAGAGGCTCCAAGACCAGCTCCCCCACCCCACCAATGTCTCCCGCTTGGAACTGCGCACACGCTCAGATGTGTGTGTGAAGGCGAGGGGTAGTGCACACTTCCAGAACCCTCCGGGAAGTTCAGGAGAGACTAGCCCGGGATCCCCACCCAGACAGACCCAAGAGACCTGACTTTCTGCCCTGGGAGTCAGTACTGTGCAGAAGGAAGGAGAGAGCAAGGCGGGGTGGGGGTGGGGGGACTTGGGGAGCCTCAGGCCTGGCTGTGACAGTAAAGAGCTCTGTGGCCAAGTCACTGTCCCTGTATAGTGGGTTTCCTCCTCCGTGACACCGAATGTGGGACTTGATCGGGGTGTACCCAAGTGTAGAGTGGACATAACTAACAGTGCAGCAGTGTTTAGGGGGCTAGTGAATACAGTGTTAAGGAACAATCACATTCTGAGAAAGGTTTCAAGTTGTGTGGATTTGGAGCAGAGGCTTTGCCTCAAAGACTAGCTCCGCTGTTAATGACCTTGACCCTCACATATTTCTAGGCCTCAATTTCCTCTTCTGCAAAATGGTGATAATAATAGCGCCCATCCTGGGGTCTCCCTGGGGCACAAGGGGTTAAGTCGCAGCACTATGAAGCTGTCTGCAGCCACTGCAGCGTGAGTTTAATCCCCAGCCAGGGAGCTGACCCACGTGGCATGGCAGAGCCCTCCCGTCTCACCCCCTGCTCCCCTCAGTAGTGTATTTAGTCAATCTGCCTGTTCTGTTCCGCTCTGTCTCTGGTGAATGAATCCTCTTACCCCCTGCACCTCTGGCCGGTACCCCAGTTCTTAATGCATAAATAAAATCTTCAAAAATCTTCAAAAATAATAAGAATGCCAGTCCTGAAGTCATTTTAAAGACTGAGTTATTATTTATGAGATGTGTTAGCCTCCCAGGCTACCAGGGTGAGTGCCTAACATATTTAACATCTGCTACTTGCTCCTTTCCATTATGGGAGCGGGTAACATTACCCAGCCGTATTCCACATAGCTTGTCAATATTACTGACTTTAATAACACTGTTCATTTCACTTTGTTCTTAAGACTTTCTTCCCTTTATGGTCAGTGCTACTGGTCTCCTAGTTACAGTCCTAATCTTTTTTTTTTTTTATGATGACTTCTTTATTTTTTATTTATTTATTTATTTTTAAGATTTATTTATTTATGGATACAGGCCAGAGGTGCAGGGACGGTGAGAGGATTCACCCCACACAGAGCAGGGAGAAGAACAGGCAGATGGACGTAGTACACTGCTGAGGGGAGCAGTGGGCGGGTCAGGAGAGTTCTGCCGCGCCATGTGGTCACCTCCTGGGCAGGCGGGAATCGAACTCATGCTGCAGTGGCTTTAGCTTCTCGGTGCTGTGCTTTAAGCCACTGTGTCACCAGCGAGGGCCAACAGTCCTAATCTTTTAAGCTTAAAAAGTTTAAAGAAAAAAAAAAAGTTTAAAGAGGGACCCTTCGAGATGGCACAATGGGTTAAAGCGAAGTACGACAAAGCTCCCCACAATCCCACAACCGCTTCAGCTCCAATTTGAACCCCCCCAGCCAGGAAGCTGAACTACATGGCGGGGCAGACCTCTCCTGTCTCCCCGCTGCTCCCCTCAGCAGTGTACTTCCTCCACCTGCCTGTTCTGCTCCCCACTCTGTCTGTGGTGAATCTTCTCACCCCACTCTTGCCTGTGCCCAGGTTCTGGATGCATAAGTAAATCTTTTTTAAAAAGTTTAAAGAAAAATTAATACTAAGAAAAGGTGATTTGAGGAAATGACCACTTTCTTCAAGGTGGTACTTCAAGGTGGACTAGAGTATAGTGAACCCTGGTGACCTCCTGACTCCAGGCTTCTAGGAACACCGAGGGCCTGCCCACTAGGCGGCTGGCACTGCTCGCCCTCCCTCTCCCTGACCTCGCCTTCCTGTCCCCTCAGTCCAGCAGTAACTCAGCCCGGTTGCCCTAGCCAGACTCCCCTTTATTCATCAAATACCCCGCAGTCCCCAAAGCCATTCCTGGCCCAGTTGAATCTTTCCTGGAACCGGTCTTGGCAGCAGATTAGAGACAGCGCCAGCCTTTACGCAGCCTCGTGACCCTAGCTGGTGGATTCCGACCCCACCAGGGGCGGGGAACCTGTCGGCCCCGCCCTCTGACCCTCAGCCTGACCCTCCTCAGACGCACCTGAGCGAGACTCTGCACCCGCCCCTAGCCCAGCCCCGCCCTGCAGCCGTTAAGAGCCCCCCGGAGCCAGTAGCTGCGAGCAGACGGTCACTGGTTGGGGGGGAGGGCCCCCCAACCGATGTGGTTGTCATGGCGACAGCGTGGCTGGCCAGGGCCCTGCGTGCCGCCGCTGCGGGTAGACGGCTACGTGGCCCCTGGGGCGCTGGGGACTCTCGGAAGCTGAGCTGCAGCGCGAGGCGACGGGCGGCGAGCGGCACTAGCCCCGGGCGTCGGCTCAGCACCGCCTGGGCGCGGGCTCAGCCCGCAGGAGAGGAGACCGAGGGTGCGGAGCAGAACACCAGCTCTCCAGCCACAGAGGAGTCATCGTGGACGTCGTCCCCCGCGCCGACGGCGCCCTCGGAATCCCCGGGACCTCCGGCCGGCCAATCGCTGGTGCAGAGGGACATCCAGGCCTTCCTGAACCAGTGCGGGGCGAGCCCGGGGGAGGCGCGCCACTGGCTCACGCAGTTCCAAACCTGCCACCACTCCTCCAACAAACCCTTCGCTGTCATGGAGGTGAGCGGAGCCTCGTGTCAGCCGGGTCACAAGGAGGGAATGGGAGTTGTATGGCGACCTATCGCCTGGCATGGCGGGACCGGACCGACTGGACTCGGCGCGGCGAACCGGGAAGGAGCGCTCGGGTGCCCGGAGGGGTGCCCCAGAGGGCGCGCCTGCCAGGCTGCGCGCTTCCAAGTCTCTTGCCCAGCTGGGTGCCGTGTCGGGGACTCCCACCCATCAAGTGTGATGCTCTGGAGGAGTCCCTCTTCCTCCGTGGCAGCTGCTGGGGGTTAGACGGCGAGTGGGGAGATTGGACGGGAACAGCGGTACCTCTGCCCTCCCCCCACCCCCAGGTGCCCCAGAGTCCAAGGTCCCAGGGAGTTGCAGAGGGAGGGTGTGAGATAAGAGGATGGCAAGATCCAGCAGGGCAAAGGGCCAAGCAGGTGGGTGACTAGAAAAAGGACCCCCACAGTTCGCAGCAGGGAGGGGGCGGAAGAGGGTCCTGAGTCGGGACGCAGTTTGGAGAAAGCTGTGCAACAGAGTGAGCGCCAATGTCCAGACTCCTGAACTTCCGCTCCTTCTCAGGTGGATGAGGAGGTGCTCAAGTGCCAGCAGGCTGTTTCCAGCCTGGCCTTCGCGCTGGCCTTCCTGCAGCGAATGGACATGAAGCCGCTGGTCGTCCTGGGGCTCCCTGCTCCCACAGCGCCCTCGGGCTGTCTTTCTTTCTGGGAGGCGAAGACACAGCTCGCTCAGAGCTGCAAAGCGCTGGTAGATGCATTGCGACATAATTCGGCCACAGCGGTGCCCTTTTTCGGCGGTGGGTCAGTGCTGGGTGCTGCGGAGCCGGCCCCGCATGCCAGGTTAGTGCTGGCCCTGCCTAACCCCAACTTGCTCAGATTGCACTCAAAGACCCCTCCAGCCAGCCCCACGGGCCTGGGGGGGGACCCTCTCGAGCACCACGTCTGGCCCACAGCTACGGCGGCATCGTCTCGGTGGAGACGGACCTGCTTCAGTGGTGCCTGCAGTCGGGCAGCATCCCCATCCTGTGCCCCATTGGGGAGACCACAGCGCGCCGCTCCGTGCTCCTCGACTCGCTGGAGGTGACAGCATCGCTGGCCAAGGCCCTGCAGCCCACCAAAATCATTTTCCTCAACACCACAGGCGGTCTACGCAACAGCAGTCACACGGTGTGCCCCCCCTTCTCTCTCGCCCCCCCCCCCAAACTCCGGCCCTGGCTAAGCCCCTGCACCCATCTCAAGCTGGGTGGGTCCAAGAGTGAAGTGTCAGAAGAGGCTCCGCGGGTGGTGCTAGATCTGAGTCTGGTCTGCTGAGGACTCTGGAAGGAAGGAAGGTGAAGTGGTCAGCGGAGAGGCCCCTGAGGACAAGGGCCCAATCGTAGATTCATCCCCTCCCCGGATGCAGGTCCTGAGTAAAGTGAACCTGCCGGGCGACCTGGACCTGGTGACCAACGCCAAGTGGATGAGCAACAAAGAACGGCAGCAGATGCGGCTCATCGTGGACGTGCTCAGCCGCCTGCCCCACCACTCCTCCGCGGTCATCACCGCCGCCAGCACGCTGCTCACCGAGCTATTCAGCAACAAGGGTGAGGGCAGCGGGCGGCGGGGAGGAGCACGGTCCTGGGAGTGGGTGAGCTGGGGAGGCGGCCGGCCTCCCCGCCGGCAAGGAAGGCGTCGGGGCGGGGTGACGGGCAAAGGCTTTCTGCACTTGCTGAACCTGGGGGAGGTAAGAGGAGGCGAACGCGACAGGGCTGGGACCCGGAAGAACCGGGGTGTGGGCGTGGCCTGGGAGTGGGCGTGGCCGAGGGCGGGGTCTGGGAGCGGAGTCGCCGCTCTGAGTGGGGCGGGATGTGGGTGCGCGGGGAAGCAGCCTCGAGATGGGCGGGACCAGGGGAAGCAGGTGGAAAAGCGGGCGATCGGCGGGACAGGAGGGAAAACTGTCCGGGAAAAGCACTTCCTACAGTGAAAATCACATACAAATCTACGCAGACCCCAGACGCCATTTGATTGTGGGCTCTCCCGAAGAGGCTAATTGTTCCTACCACGTAATTTCCCTATCAGGAACCCCCACCAAGCCGCCCAAGCGAAGAGATGAGTGGAATCCGGCGTTCGGCTAAACTCACCCCTCCTCCATCCTACCCACAGGGTCGGGGACCCTGTTCAAGAACGCTGAGCGGATGCTGAGGGTGCGCAGCCTGGACAGCCTGGACCAGCGCCGCCTGGTGAACCTGATCAACACCAGCTTCGGCAAGAAGCTGCGGGACGACTACCTGGCCTCGCTGCGCCCGCGGCTGCACTCTGTCTACGTCTCTGAGGGGTGAGCCTCTGGGTCCCAGAGGGCAGAGACCCCAGGGAGAGTCGGGCAGATCCCAGCCTGCCTCTCCCCCGCTGCGCCAGGTACAACGCAGCCGCCATTCTGACCATGGAACCTGTACTGGGGGGCACCCCGTACCTGGACAAGTTTGTGGTGAGCTGCAGCCGCCAGGGCCAAGGCTCCGGGCAGATGCTGTGGGAGTGCCTGAGACGGGACCTGCAGACGCTTTTCTGGCGCTCGAGGGTCACCAACCCCATCAATCCCTGGTAGGTTCCGCCCCGACCCCCGACCCATGCTCTGGAGTCCACCAGCCTAGAGGCCCGGGCTTCCCCTTCTTTCACCGTCCATCCTTTCCCAGAGAATGTCTCCTTCGGTGTAGTCCGACATTCCCCAGGAAGCAGTTCGCACAGGGAGCCAGAGATCTCCCCACAGGCAGCCCCTCTCCCGGCAGCCTTTCTCTCCCGGGGTCCTGAGCAATCCTGACCCTTCCAGCTCTATTCCAGACTTGCTGCGGAGCTCTGATCCTCCACCCACTGCATTTCCACAGAGCACCCCTTTCCTTCCTTTCCTCACCCCCAATTACCCTGCTCTTCTGGCACCAACAGGTGAATGGGGTGGGGACTCAGGTGGGATGCACAGCCGAGACTGTGGAGGGAGCAAGGGATGTCCTCACTCTTTCACAGCTGTGTGACTGGCAAGTTACCTTAGCTGCTTCTCTGTAAAGAGCCTAAGACTAGGCTCTTGGCTGCTACTGTGGACTCAACAGACAGCAGGGTGTCTACACCAAGAGGTTTTCAACAAATGGGCTCCTGAGTAGCAGCACTGGCTTTGCCCTAACACCCACATCCCCACCCACCCCCAACCAGGTACTTCAAGCACAGTGACGGCAGCTTCTCCAACAAACAGTGGATCTTCTTCTGGTTTGGTTTAAGCGACATCCGGGACTCCTATGAGCTGGTCAACCATGCCAAGGGGCTGCCGGACTCCTTCTGCAAGCCAGCTTCTGACCCAGGCAGCTGACCCTCACCACCAGTCCTGCCAGCCCTGAGACAGCCAGGGTGGACCAAAAGCCAGGTCTACTGGAGGTGACCCCCACAGTCACAGGCTTGCTGGCAGAGCGATGTGCAAAGGGAAAAGCGGACCCTAAACTCTGACAGGGGCAGGCACCCATGTGGGGAAAGAAACAGGAAGGAGAAGGACCCCCCCCAAGACTCCTCTGGCCCCACAGCCACAGTGAATGGCCTCCAATATTTGGCCTAGGGATTTGGAGGTGGGAAAGACTTGCCTATGAGGGCCCTACTCAGGGTTAACCTTACGGGTGGGCCAGTTCCTGTGGCCTCTGTCATGTTTTGAGGCACCCTTGCCATCTGCCTGATATCCTTGTTAACATTCTTCTGGGCTTTGTGACTTTTCAGGAGGCCTCGATTAAAACACAAATGCTTGTCTGAGTCAGCTCACACTTGAAAAGAAATTACCATTGATCACCTGGGAGCAAGATGGGAATGTGGGGGGGCGGCAGCGAGCAGGCAGCTCGCTGCTCAAGGGAGGAGATCATCTCCCTCACCTGGTGTCCGCAGTCACCAGAGTGGCCCCTGCCCCCAGGCAGGAAACATTCTCTGCTCCACAAACACACCCACAGTTGGCCCAGCTCCCTTCGCTGGCAGGGCTCAGAGCTGAGTCTAGGTCTAGCCATTTTTGAACCAAGATGTGACAGGCACTAACTGGAGGCTTGTGGCTACTTTCTGTTGGGGGTGCCTGGGTAAGACCATGAACCACAGGGTGCTGTGACAGAACCACTGCCCAAGAGCAGCCTCTGCTTGCCCTCAGAAAAGGGGTGGTGGGGTCAAGTACACATCTGATCGTGGGCGGTGTACTCAGATGTATATTTGACCCAGCTCAGTGGCTTAAGGCAAACTGTTTCCCTCATCTAGTCTCAGTCCTCGGCCTGATAACAGACACTTAATATTCATTTTCTTCTTGTGGCTGTTCTCACCAAAGATTTCTTCAAAAAGAGCTGACACCAAACGGGGAGGAAAAGGCAAGCTATAACCAGGGGGCCTGAATGAGAGGCTAAAAAAATACACTACAGGGAGGCTCCGATTCTTGGAAAGAGTGCCAAAGGCCCGTGGGGGCACTTGGAGCAAGGGGGAGGTGCCAGAGGCCTAGATGAACTTACGCAGATGTGTTCTTTCAAGACCCAAGACCAATACCAGCCAATGGCAAAGTGCCATGGGAAGAACACAGAAGCAAAGCCAAATGTCTATATAAAATGTTTATTTTTGGAGGATTGTGTGGTCTGGTGTTTGGGAGGGCGCTCACCCTTCCAGAGTGGGCTGGAACTGAGACAGCAGGAAGTGGGCCACTGTCTACCCCACCCCTCCCTGTACACCACAGAGTCGACTGGGGCCTGCTCTGCTTTCAAGGTGGGTGAGAGCTAGTGCTTCTTCCGCTCCTAGCAGAGCCTGAGAACGCGCAAGAGGTCAGGGTGCCTGGCCGGTCTCCTCCAGGACCTGATCTGTGAGTCAATCCACAGACTCCCAGTCTCCAGGAAGCACTGTAGCACCTGGCTGCATCTGCCAGGTTCAGAAAGTAGTTGTTCCCACTGGCCTACTTCTGGTTCTCAATCTTCCCTTTCTCTTCAACTCTTGGTGTGCCCACCTTAGCCCTGCCTTACCCTCTTCTCAGAGACAGGAGACCCTGGAGTACCTGGCTTCAGCTCCCCTCCTAACGGGGGAAACCTGTAAGGCATCATCATCATCAGGGACCCCACCTCCAGGGCTGAGCCCAGGAACTGAGGAAGAGACCTGCCCCTTACCAAGACACACACAAAGCGAAGGATCAAACAAACAGACCGAAAAGCATAAATAAATAGCAACTGGGCCAGTGAGCAAGGCAGGGTGGCCCTCAGTGGCTCCCTGCACCCATTTCAGCCTCTTGCCATGCAACTCAGCCATCCGTGGCCAGAATGACAGCAGCCCCGAAGATGCCCACACTTTCTCCAAGCAGCTTCATCTGGTTCCAGAACTCAACGCGCCGTGTGTTGTGCCAGTAGGCAACATTGCCATCAATGAGCAGCATGACCGGGGGCAGCAGTACAGCCAGGATCTGGGCAGCCAGGGTCACGTAGTAGCCTGACAGGAAGGCCAGGGCCAGGACGCCATACAGCACAAAGAACAGCTGGATCATCAGCTCCCCTCCCGGGAGGTGGTTCAGATACGCCAGCCGGTCCTCCTTGCTGTGCTGCAGTGAATAGGCCTAGAGACACATGGACCTCTAAGATTCTCCCAACAGGCTGAGGGACCTGCCTGGGGCCACCCCGAGAGAGCACTTAGTGCTCCTGAGGGGGCCCCGCGCAGCCTCAGGCTGTCTGCAAGTAGGGCCTGTCATGCCCCTTTACATAGGAGGGCCATGACAGGATCTGTCTCTCCTCATGTAGGGCCTCAGGAGTGGAGGAAGCTGTATCTCCACAGCAGCCGGGTGCTCACCTCTGAATACAGAGCTCCGCACACAGACGTGATGCCCTGGCACTGAGACGAGGAAGTGGCGCGGGGCCTGTCCACACCCCACACAGTGGCCTCCCTGACCCCAGGAGGATCATCGCTAGCTAACATTGGAAGCCTCCATTAGCTCCAAAAGGTAGAGTCCACGCTGGGGCCTGAACCCCATGAAACCTTTCCTCTGTCTCTTTTCCCATCATCTTGGAGTTGGCGCCATGAGAGGACCCATCCGTTCTGGCCACCTGGCACTCAGGCTTGGGACTGAATGGTCAGTGCAAGGCTTCTCTCCCTAGTGACAATAATTTTGGAAGAAGGGACCCCAGCCAAGTCTCAGGCACTGGGAGGGCCCCGAGGCCCTCGGTGCAGCCAGGGCAATTCCCAGGAGCAGGGGGCATCAAGAACCACAAGCCCGGCCTCGTTCTGCCCACCTCCCTGGGTTCTGTCAACCCTGGGCTCACCTTTCCCTCCCAGTCAAGCATCTCCAGCCAAAGGCCCCCAACCTACCACACAGATGAGGTAGATGCCCAGGAACACCTGGCCGGTGGACTGGAGGGAGCGGCTGCGGGGTTTCCGACGGTACAGCTCCCCAGCACCGCTGGCCAGCACAAGAAAGCCGCCGATGATGGCAACTGTGCGCGAGTACATACGGACCTAGGCCAAGGCGAGGGCACCCAGTCAGGAACGGAAGCCGCCATGTTTCTCCTGGCTGCCCAGAGCACCTTAAAGACGGCACTAAGATTAAATATCCTAAAATCTGGTGGAAGAATCAGGTACCTGGACCTAGGCTTAGGAATGATTTAGAGGGTTCTGGGAACTAGGTGTCCTGGCTCCTAGTCCCATCAGCAATGGGAAAGTCTGTTTCCTCTTTCTGGGCCTCACTTTGCATACTGACAGGGAGACTTGAGGTCGAAAGGCGCTTCCTTTCTTGGTCTCCACAGCCAGGGGTTCGCGTCCTCAGCTTCACACAGCCGCGGAGACCTGGTCTCCGGCTCCGGCTCCGGCTCCCATCACCCTGGAAGCCCCGCCTGGGGCCTCGCGCTCACCTTCAGCCAGTCCCCGTAGTGGACGTAGCCCCCGGCGTAGGCGGCATAGGTGCTAACGGCGAGCTGCAGCGCGGCCCCCAGCGCGAACCAGCGCCGCTTCACTCCAAAGGACATGAAGCTCGCGCACAGCACGGCCGCCCCCATGTCGAAGTACAGGTAGGGCACTGGAATGTCAGGCTTCCTGCGAGCAGGGAAGGGAAGCAACGGGGCAGAATGAAGCGGGGTGTAAAGCCTCGAGACCCCCGAGTTCCCGCAAGCCCCGCTGCTCCTGCAAACCCTAGACCCCTTGTCGCCAGGAGCCCCCGCACTATGCTTGCTGTCCACCCTGACCCCGGCCAGATCCCCTCCTACTTAGTCCGATGTCCTAGTTCCTCCCAGTTCAAGGGCCACAACTTCTTCCCCACCTCACCGCACCCCCGTTCCTGGGACGGGTGGTACCGCCCCCGCCGCATTCGGCGTTTGCGTGGGCCCGCTCACCGGCGCGCCTCGGCCCTCTCAGCGTACAGCATGAGCTGGCTGAAGCAGCCCCAGAACGGGCAGCGTGTGAGCAACACCGAACCCAACTGCATGAGCAGCTGCAGCATCCACCGCCGGGAACCCATCTTCGACGCCATCTTGAAAAAGGGCAGTCCGCGGCGGCCTCACTCCCGTCGGAAAGGCCGACGAAGGGCACTCACGCAACTTCCGGGTCACTCGAGCCACGCCCCCTTCCGTCGGAAAGCAGCGCGCTCGCTTTCTAGTTCTGGGCAGAAGGAAGTGTTCTAGCGGGGAGTTCGGCTTGTCTTCTCTGCGCAGGGGGCCCTGAGGCCCCTCCACGTAGTAAGAAAGAGAACTAGAGGGCGCAACACCGGGTTCAGGATATAGAAGCCCCGGCTGTAACTTGATGTACCGAAGTGAATCAATGTGGATGCAGTCAGACTTGGGGTCCGATCTTAACTCCAACCCTGGGCTTTGGACGCAAGACCTACACTCCCCTAGAGCCGTAACTGGGTAATAATTACACCTGCCTCACAGAACTGAGCTTAAATGCGACAGTTGTTCTTACCACAAACTTCAGTAAGTGGTACACCGCCCCCATAGTCCCCGATTCTGTTGTGACAGTATTGGTCTTAGTATGCCTTCCTCCGGCCCCAGCACAAAGACCCGACGTGGACCTATGGGGCATTTCAGTGAGCCCCCTTCCTCCAGCTCCAATGCTCCACTGGGGCACACCTTTTATTTTTTTCCTGTGTTAAACTGCAGCGGCCTTTCAACTGGCTTCCTCCAGTTCTCAGCAACCCTATTTTATGTTCTCAAAACATCAAACCACCTCTCCTTTGACCCACTTAGTGCACTGGCATTATTTGATTCTTTTGCTAATGACTTTCTTCCGCTCACCAGAGTGTAAACTTCATGGGGGCAAAGGCAGTGTCTGGTTTGTTTATTAAAACATACTCAAGGACTAGTATACAGGATGATTTCAAGAAATATGTCCTGAACATAAACAATGAACAAAAGGTGTTTATCACAATGTCTGGCTCATATAGTTTCTCAATCATTATAATAAAGGAGCAAAAGTTCTAGGCACTCTGGAATTGCTAACGAAAAGTTGCCCCATCTATCTTCCTGCACACTCCCACCACCTTGCAACACAAATTCTTCTGCCTATATTGACATTAAGACTACAAGTTCGCCAATGAGGCTGCTTAATGATGGGTGCTCCCATCTCTCTGGGGAGGAAAGAGGGAACTCATGTCCAGAGTCCCAACAATGTCAATTAATAGACAGTGAAAAGCTGAATGACAAAAATACCCTTTCATATCTAATCTCTTACAGTCAGTAGGATAAAGTCTGGATATATCAGAGTGTGAGAGGGGGATATATCCACCCAAAACAAAAAAATGGAACAGATTTGTATATGGGTTTGCTGAGGCATGGGGCAATCTCCAGGGAAAATGAGAAAAAGCCTGAGTTAAAGGTTATGCTATTATTTTCACACACCAACGATAACCACAAAGTATGTTTTCTTTACCATAATGTAGGCACATGGTGAAGAATCAGCTTTCCAGCTGGCTTTGTCTCCTCCTCCTTTGATTCCCATGGGACAAGATGCACAGGCCGCAGGAAGGAGCCAAGGTGAGCAGAGCAGAACTGCCACTGTATCCTTAAAACACCCCGAGGGTCCTGCCTGGAGTATGCCCCAGAAACAATGCCTCATGATTTAGGGACCAGCTTCCCATCCAGTCCCTGACCACAGTGGCCAGGGACATGTGTGAGAAAAACACATTAGGATAAAGGAAGTCTCCCCAGTACTCATCCCACCCCAATTCCCTCTGGGCTTCATGCAGTCCCTCTATCCTTTACTGTCTCCTTCCCCAGAGGGGTTTTGAGGACCAGGGGCCAAATACCAAATTCTAGGACTGGGAAAGGTAAGATGCCGGAAGTGTGCTCAGAGCTTGGGACTACGAGTATGGGGCCGAGTATGGGGCCGTGGGGGTAGGGGGCGGTAAGGGTTGGTCTAGGGGCAAACCAGGAGCAGGGGCTGGTAAGGCAGGAAGCCCAGCTGGTAACTCCTTGCTGCGCTGCTGCCTGTGCCACTGCTGCCGCCACACAAGTGCATACCCGTGCTCTTTGGACCCCGGTGCCCACGCTCATGCCCGTCAGCCCCGCATCCATGCTAGTGGCGGCAGAACATAAAATGGCCTGGTAACTCCATGTACCCTATCGAGGGGTTCCTAGGTTCTTCTAAGTGAAAACTGCCTGTGTCCACCCTCCACCCTCATTCCTGCCTGGGCAGTCAACTGAGCAGAATTCTGAGCAGCGTCCCTTCTCCCCTGCCTCATCTTCATCTCCACTCCTCCTCCAGCTGCTTGACTCCCTTCTGCAAAATCCCTGACTCCTCCAGAGGACTCACCTGCTCCTCTAGGGGCCAACCTGTGCTTATGCTCAGCACCCAGAGTGCCCAGCACAGTAGAATCGGGTCTCCCCCAATACACTCAGTACCCCCACCAACCCCAGTATGTATGGTTTGCCCAGGTCAGTCACACACAAGTGCCTCAAGACATGCAGCTTCCTGAAGGTCCACCGCAGGTCAGTTTATTGGGCAGCAGCAGCTGCATGCCCATCATCCAAATGCCTGCCACCATCTTGAACTTGCTACAACTGGTTGCCTACAAGAAAGACAAGGCCAGGCCCTGCAGGGCTACGAGGGCCTCAGCTTCTCGCATGCTGTAAGAAACATAGAGTACACTCAGGTTCTTTATCACCTCCCACTGCCGGCCTCCATAGTCACTACCTGCGGCTTTGCTTTCTTCCGGGGTGCATGACCCCCATGTTACAGCATGTGATTCCAACAAGCGCTTGGGCAGGCCTCCCTGCTGGCGCAGTGGGGTAAAGCGCAGTATTGTGAAGCTGGCCGCGGCCGCTTCCCTGGGAGCTCGATCCCGTCCTGGAGCTGACCCACATGGCCCAGCAGACCTCACCTGTCTCGACCACTCTCCCCTCAGCAGTGTACTTCATGTTCTGCTCCCCTATCTGTCTCTGATGAATCCTCTCACCGTCCCTGCACTTTTGGTTTGTACCTCAGTTTTGGATGTATAAATAAATAAATCCTTAAAAAAGAAAGTGCTGGTTTAAAAAGATGTGGTACATATACACACTGGAATATTATTCAACAGTCAAAAAAGATAAATACATGCCTTTTGGCAGCAACATGGATGGAGCTGGAAGGGATCATGCTTAGTGAAATAAGCCAGAAAGAAAAGGAAAAATACCAGATGGTTTCACTCTTACAGGAGCATAAGGGGCCAGGGGAGAAAGTAGTAATAATAATGAACAACTCTATATGAGAGACATTTTACGGGGGTGGAGTGGGAAATGGGATCAACAACCGTGGGGGGAGGGAAGTGCACTGGACTGTGGTGATGGCACACGGCTGATTTGGTGATGGGAAGCCCACGGGGATTACAACTGAGATGGAAAAAGGCACAAAATGATGTAAAAATAATTATATATTAAGAAAAAGGTGCTTGCACATTCAAGGGCAGGGCATGGGCATGTGCACCTCCTGATGGCAGATACCCAGGCTGAGAAGCCAGAGAGCCTGTGGTGCACCTATGTATATACAGACAACGGAGCCAAGAAGCAAGGGGAGATCCCGGGGGCTGGGACTCAGCTGCCGACTCCCTGCCTGCTGGTCTGCCTGTGTCTGGGCCTGATTCAGCGTTAAAGGCCTGTTAGAGATACCAAAGGCTCCAAAATTCTCTTCCTGTTTTCCCAAATCAACAATGAACCTGCCTAGCCCGGGATGGCTACACAAATACATGCTGATGTCATTCCCAGAGGGACCACCAAATCCGGCATGGGGACTGTACCCCAAACTTGCTGCGGCCAGGTCCCAGACAGTGAGAGGCAGCATAGAGACAAGAAAAGACCCCCAAGCCTGGCTGGGGCCAGCTCAGCCAGCTGGTTGTGTATCGGGTCAACCTACTGCAGGTTCCACGGGCTCCACAGGTTACAAGGGTTGAGGGAAGTGAGCAGGTCATGAAAGCCCCTGCAGGTGGAGCAGAGATCCCAGGGTGACCACTAGGTCTGGAGGCAGGTTGTGGCAGGGGTTCAGCTGCTCCAGGAAACCAAGGCCCCAGGACCCTGTGAAAAAGCAGCAGCGCCTGCAGTCCCCACAGAGCAGCAACTGATGGAGATTTCTGTTGCTCAGCCCCTGACCAGACTCCTGTCAGGGAGCCTGGGCAGGTGGAAGGCCCATCAGCCCTCCTGCCCACAGAAGGCAGACGCATGGTGTCGAATGCGCTGCTACCAGATCCCCGAGCAAGGCGGATGCCACCACTGCAACCATGGCCACTGAGGGGGAGGAGTGGCCACAACTGCCCTTTGCTTGCTCCACAAGGAGCTGGGAGAAGGATGGCATAGGGCCCTGCACCAGGCACGTGTGGATTCTGTGATCTCTGTGCTTCACTTGACACCCAGGGTGCATGGACAGCGTGAGGAGAAAAATGAAAGCACTGCCCAGTCTCACTACTTGCTGCGTCTACAACATGGTCTTGAGGACACTGTTACTCTTCTGGAAAGGGCCACGTCAATCTGAGACCCCAACACCCTGACCTCCCTCTTGCCAACTTGCCCTTATTCCTAAAAGAATGAAAGGAAATCAGAGAAGGTGGTCTTTTTAATCCTCTGAACCCCTTCTTTACTCGCTCCACACGCCATCTATTTCCCACACAGTCCCAGAAGAAACTCTGTCCCTGCCCCTCAATGTCCACTCAGTTCCCATCCAGCCAACACTGTGGAGACCCTGTTCTCTGGGGGACACAGCCTCGACCACAGAGCCCTCACCTGTGTTCCTGGCTGCTCCTGCAGAGTGCAGCCCTAGCCCCAAACAGTAACAGAAAAGCATCTCAGCTCTAGTGGAAGCTTCCTGGCCTCCTGCCTCTCCAAGACCCAAAAGCAGTGGAGATCTGCTGTCACATTTCTGAGGGGGAGGGGGAGGGGCAGATGGAAGGGATTTGCAAGGCCTTGTGGCCATATACCAAGGAGGAAGGACCCTGCTCTGCCTGCCTAAAAAGTGATGCTCCTACCCCTCCCTTCTGGACGTCCACCCTGTGCTACCTCCTGTCAGGGTGGGAGTATGAGGCCCTCTGAAGCCTGCT